TTTTCGGGGGCATGAATAATATGTCCTTCATGGCAATTGAAAAACTTTGATATCGGCCTGACCTTGAAATTATTTTCCTGTTGGGTAAATTTCGGTGTGCTCTAGTTGCTGGTTGTCAGTCTATCTGGCCAGCTGTAAGGGGGCGGTCGCACAGTTCCTACGTATTTTTCAGGAGGCTTACCATCGTTGTCTGGACTAAGAGCTGGAAAAGATGAATATACATCAGGAGTAAGAAGCATTCAATGGTAAGTCACAATCAAAACTGTCAAAATACTTTTGAATCATGTATCATATTGTTCCTGTTAATGTGAAATTATAGGAGTAGTGGTCGACTGTTTACTATGACCTAATATAGTTCTATATATGTTTAATATGGCTTTAATATAGACATACGTACGACTAATATGCAGGGTTTTATCGAAGGGTATATTTTTATGTTCGCAACTGTTCCCTGATTATACCTCCTTCCGCTTCCTCCACCTCTAAGCGCTCTCTTTTTTCGTGTCCAGGTATACTTTCCTCTGAAATAACCTTCCAACAAATGTAGGATCTTCAGATAATCTAATGGTTTCAGGAGAAGGCAGCGCCTTTATCTGAATACTGACCCGATAAAACGTTTATTTTTCTCATTCTTCCCCGATAACTTTCTCCATGACATCGAGGAAGTACCACCGGGAATTCCGGACGACGCCGCCGCCGCCGTAAAATTACTGTCTCCGCTCCCATCTTCTTTTCTGTGTACTATCCCTTCCTGGGATCCCTCATCACAAATGGTAGTTTTTTTACGATTTTTCAATTCATGCATCGAGCCCCTTACAGAATGCGTTCTATCGACGCTCTTGGCGTAGCCTTCTGTATTCGCCATCTATTAGTCATCTGGTCACATCTCCCCACCCCATCCTAGGCTGGACTCGAAGCTGACTGTGACCGATCGCATCTGGTTTCCTATCGATTCGCCACGTTGAGTTGATTGGCCTCATCCGGCACATGAATTCTGCCTTGATGATGTCCGTATCGAGCCTTCTACTCAATACCGCATGCAGGCCAGTCCTGTCTAACCCGCACACTTACCCCATAATTAAATCCGTTATACACTGCCACATGCAGGCCGGTTCCGCCCGCTTTTTATCGTTTTCATAAACGATAGTCCTTTTTCTCCTACAATGTTAATCCAGTCATATCTCATCCGGTTTATTTGCTAGGAGTTTTGTTTTCACTGCTCCCTCACCATTCTTCGTAACAGCCTACTTATTCAATAACTATGAAGTAAGTACTGTATACATTCTGTGTACTTGTTCTAAAATTCATATACAAAGCTATTCTTTCTTGCTAGTAGCGGACGCCCACGGGTCTTGAATCAAAATTATTATTGATATTAAATGAATTTAACAATCAGTAGTGAGCTAATCTTGACACTGAAAAATTAATACCTCTAGGGTGGGAGAGAAGGGAGAGGAAGGCGATTACGTCTCTAGTAGTTGTCTTTCAGTGGCTGGGGCTGCAAATGACAGGCGTGTCGAGTGCTCAACTGCACCTCTATCAATTCGCCCTGCCTAGCGTTCTTTACCCCCTCCTCTCCATCCTACATGAGTCAAAACAGAATTACGAGGACCTTACTAAGTGAATGGATTCGAAATGGACATGAAGAAGAAGCACTTGGGTACTTAACAGACATCCAGAACGAACGCAGAGTATTGGCGGCAAAAAAGCAAGTAGTAGCAGGGGCTAAACGTGCGTAAGTAAAACACGAAACGTCGTTCTCACAGTATTTAAAATGAGTAACAAAGATTTATTTGAAGAATCATGCGAAGAGAAGTGAATAAAAATCCGCTACCCAAGCAACCTATGGCACAGCTAAACACCCAAAATGGGGCAGTCGCGATAGGAGCCTACTGCAATATACTTGAGAGTTATACGAAGTGCCCTTAGCACCTCCATGTTGAAAATGTGGACAAACAGATATGCCTACTATGGAGACATGCCATCATCTTCTACTCATTGCTTTCTAAGGCGATGGAGCCTGAATTGTGCAGCAGTTAAAACAAAGGGCATGATTCGAAATTCCTACTCCCAAGGTGTGGTAATGAGAGCACTGCGTTCCTATGCATAAAACCAGATTTGTACATATCTAAACCTGGTCCTAGGATCGGGGTTGAGAAAACAGAACTGCATGATGGCATATATATAGCCGTCTAGTTCCAAGTAGCGGGAAGGCGTGCTTTGTACTCATTTCATTTTGCAGAGTTTTCACATTCCTGAGTAACTTATTCCAAATAGCAATTGCGTTCACAGAAAAGAAACGACGATATTTAACGGAGCGTGCCAGAGAAAGAAATAAATAGGCCTCACGGTAACTATTACGCCGAGGGTAGTCGAGAGGTTTTAAAATAGCAAGCGGGTTAAAAACACGATTGTTTAAGAGCTTAAGCGGTAAAATAGTCCTTTTGCCACCGATGAAGCCAAAAGTGAACAAGGCCTGTAAGCTCGCAACGATTCTGGTAGGTCAAATGCTACGACCTAAGGTCAAAATTCATTTGGTAGAAAGCGTTGGACGGATTCTTTTTTCCTCCGCTCAGTAGCACGCATGTGGCTAAATAAAACGAACGGTATTCCTGGCCAGATCTGACGTACATTTTGTAAGGGCGCATTCTAACATGGCCAGTTTTGAAATTTCTGAGGATAAACCCGCTCGTTTTACGTGCTTTAGAGATTATCAGGGCCCAGTGAACTGAAAGATTAAGACTCTTGCATTTTGATACACCCAGATCCTTAATAACGCCAGGGACATTTATGTCGTGGCCGTCAATGCTTAGTTGAGGTCGGAGATCGCCGCCAACCACCTCGACTGAGCCTTTATACCAAGAAAGAGGAAGGCGCCATGTGCAGTACCACTGGTCAAAAGACTGTAGGTCGCTCTTTATGAGCTCTATCGTGATGTCACGATCTGCCAGCTTATATCGGTATGCAACTTTCAGATCATCGACATACATGAAGGACTGACCGCTCGGAAATAAATCTGGTACATCGTTAACAAAAAAGAAAAATAAAAGCGGACCAAGTACACTGCCTTGAATGACTCTACTCCTCACACATGTGGGGTAGAAGATAACTTTGGAAATCATAACCCGGTGTTTGCGAACGCCCAAGTAAGAGAAGTTTACCGCCTATTCCAAAAGAGGAAAGTTTCAAGAGAAGAAGAATATGGTCAACACGATAAAAAGCATTAGTGAAATCGAACTAGACGGTGTACAGTAGAAACCCATTGTCCTTAGATTGGAAAACATGATCAAAGATAGAGAGCTGGCAGGTGTCACAGGACCGAACTTTGAGGAATCCATGATGAGCAGCGCTCAGTAAGTTATTCTTTGTTAAGTGACACGTGTAAGATAATGTACATTATCTTACTTTTGATCAATGTCTCTAAGATTTTCGAAACTGAGAGGAGGGTGTTTATTGGCCGAAAGTCGTCAAATGACGTACAGTGACCATGCTAGGGGCTAGGCAAAATGTGTGATTTCTTCCACAAAGTAGGGTAGGTTTTAATTTCAAGAGCGAGACTAAATATCTTGCAGAGGAACAACGGGAAAATTTAATTTGTATTCTCTTTAAAAATGCTTAATGATACACCATCAGGTCCAGGGCTATGAAACTGACCAAAACGCCGAACCTATACGGTCACATGTGGATTATTATTTTGATAATTGCCCCGCTCACTGCCTGGACGGTCAGAAACGGATCGGCTGAGTTTTTCATAAAGTTTTCCGTCAACCACTATCAGCGGTCAAGTGGACGTCTGCTATGGGACTTCCTAAAGCTTCTGGGAGGATGGGATATCACGTTTTTACATGAACTTTTACTTTTTGAAAGAAAGGTTTCCCGATGTTCACGGGCGGTTGTCGGGGAAGTGTAGTTTTGCGACTAACTGGTTTTCTTCAGATGGTCTCTTTGCTCGATCAAAAATTTCACAAATCGAGGGCAAAAAGGAAACGTTATTCTGAAGATGAAACCAGGGAGAACAACTGCGTAACCTTTGGCGAAAGAGTAAGGGAAAGAAAATCTTACGCCGACGCTAATTGTTTTCATGCGCGGAACAAAACAAGAAATACGCGGATCTTAAATATCGTACAGTTTGGCAGTGCAAACATTTACATCCGAAGTTATGAATAAATCAGTCCAATCGTATGGATTAAGGTGTGTTCATAAGTCGGCCGAGCGGGCTGATCGGAAGCCGAAGAAGCTATACTTTGGGAAAAAAATTGTCAGCCTCGAGTTCTACCTTAGAATTAACAATGTCAAGGTAACAGCTCCCGAATAGGCTTAGGGATGACACTGAAAGAAGTATGAAACGTCTAATGGAATTTAGGTCAAGTAGGCTTAATCCAAAATAACTCATGGGATTGGCAGTTCTACTACGTTTTGTGTCGCTGACCTAATCGTACTTGCGATCTTTGTAGACATCATAAAGACAATTAAGTCTCCATAATAACAGGCGAAAGTCCGGAGCGTATTATCAAATAATGAAGCTGGTAATCTCCAGAAGTGAGCCTAACCAACATATGTCTGCAGCAACTTCCCCAATGGCAGTCTTGGTTGCCTAAAATGACGTCTTGACAAAAGGGTTAGCGATTGACCGTCCTACTAGTCAGAAGGTCAGGCTCCAATGAATAGCACCTCCTTAATTTGTGCCTACCATTTTGTCGGATGGCAGACCTAAGCAAACACACCCTTCTCCTCCCGATTCGAAAACAAGTAAAAAATTTGGATCGAAACCTTGATATGGCTCGAGCGGCATGTGCAAATCAACCTTCGGACGCATACGCATACGAACCTCCACAAGCACAACCCTACGCGGACGCTACAAAACTCTATCTCTCTCTGTGAAACAGTCTTATGTTCTTACTGGGGTGCCCTTTTTTAAATATCCGTCGAGTTACCGGGGGACTGAATAAATGCTTTGGCCTTGTCAACTCTATAACCAATGAAGCTACCTGATTTGTTAAATGGCCAATTCGGATGACCAAAGGCCTGCAGTGTTTCCATCGGCACTGTGCAGGCACCCCAAAAAAGAGGTGGGTGATCGCGCCGCTTCGACTTTGAGATCTCTTATACAGTATATTAGTACACTTTTCTTCTTAGACTCGCCCCTACCTCTTGAATGAAGTTCAAGTCCGTCTATGAGAGGTCATACAAGCAATTTGCATCTGCCCATAAGGACTATTTGGAAAACTTGAACTATCGTATTCAAAGACAAGCCGATGAGCGTACTCATCATCCTCTTGACTGGCCAGGTGAAAGTTCGGACAGTGACACCTCTAGCTCCTCAACCGTTATTCAAGGATCACACGTGCCTCTAAGGGCAGTTTCTGCCGGTAACAGTCACAATGCTTCATATGATAAAACGAGCATCGGCAGTACGCAATTGAGCCAGTGTACAATCTCTCCCGAAGTAAAAAAAGATGGTGCTTCTCCTGAGAGTTTTTTTATTTGTTTACAGAGTTTGTTCAGGTCGATTGGGACTCAAGCCTCTCAGAGCTGTCGCTGGCCTCGGATGGGAGCGACGCTTGCACCATTAACACAGATAAAGCAAGGAAGGTTAGTGTTGGCCGTGCGCCACGCTGTTCGGGTGACGTCAAAGACGTGATTTCACAGTATCCCACCGGCGGAGCGTCTAAAGGAAAAGTAAGTTGTTGTACTTGTCTGACAGTTTCTTAACACATCGAGTACCACTTCACTAAATGTAAACTTGCAAACGCATGCATGCTGCATGTTCATTAGCCAGTTAGGGATGTTTTAATACAAAATAGTTTTTTTGCTTATAGCCCGATAATCCACTTCATTGAGTTATCTGTCGCAATTACCTGCCTTTCCTAACGAAGGACTTCGGTATGTTCAATGCTGGCTCTTGTGAAGTCAACAAACCAGCGGATACTCCGGGAGCTCGACCGTTCTCACACCCCAAAATTGCCATCACAATCACATCAGTCAGATAATGACAAGCGGTCGAGAACTGCCTTGTGACAGCGCTTATCATGAACGACTCACCCAGCTTCTTGTTGCAAGTTTACTGCATCACGAATGATCGCCTTACAGACGGCGTAAGACTCTCTGCGATGTTTAGCCAACCGGCCTACTAGTCATGGACGAATTTGTCCTTAGGCCGCTCTACATACAGGCGAGCCACCTCTATCTGTATGTAGGGGCATAAAGTTGACCGGTTGTATTTACGACCGCCGATGTAACCATTCGTTGGAGAGGCAGTTTCTGATAACTGAGCATAAGGGCTGTCGATCTAATACTGTTGAGCAATGAACATCTTCGGGACACACTCATTCATCATTCGTATGCAGCGATTGTCTTTCTTGAGGGCCCATGCACTTGCGACTTGGTCTTCTGACTGATCTTTCGCAAATTCGGTAGGTATCGTCAGAGTCGAGCACCCGATCAATCCTAGGACCGTTTTCATCTGCACTGCCATTTTACCTAACACAGCATAGATTGTCGACTAACTGTAAATTTTTATCGTATATCGTAACCAGACAGATATCTCCCACCGCGGAGCCTGAAACGATCGTATATTTTGAGAAGAGCTAATTTTCATTCTCACCAGCGGCCTTGTGTTTTTCTAACAAAACACTACATTTCCGCGAAGGATTCCGCAAACACAACTCCACCGGTAATGCACAAACCATGACTTACTGTGTCCCTATGTCCGCATGCCCAAAATTTGATCTTTAGGAGAAAACTTTGCTGGACATCAGGTGTGGAATCAAAAACGACTCCCAGACCTCGGTCCTCCTATTATGTTAGTGTGCCTGAAGCAAGGGAGACAACCTCATTGGCATGCCACCATGCGGCTTTATCTCCCAAAAGTAACCCGATGGGCACATACTAAATTCACGAAGAATGTGAGTGTGATGTTGATGAAGACGAAAGGCTTCAAAGGACTCTCGACAAAAGAGAGGCCTCGGTCATTTCTTCGTTCAAAATCCGCAAGGATCCTTGTCCTTGTGTCGCATTACAAATGGAAGTGATTAAGGACTGCAAAGACTTCTGCGACAAAATCAAGAGGGTTTATGCCACAGTACTCCTTACACAGTAACTGCCCTTTTTATATTCGATGTTATAATACCGTTAGTCCGGTTTGCGGAAACGGTCTGGACTTTCGACCAAAAAGCGTGCTACCAGTCAGCGGAAACCGTTGAATAAGACTTGTAATTCTCCACCAAAAGGCAGTCTTCACCAGGTGAATTTGTGTTTTGCCTCGCTAGTGCCTCAAGACTACTCGGTAGGTGGTTGACTCCAGTTTACGCTAGTTGGGTGCCGGTACGTTTTCCAAGTGGACAGCAGCTCAGATGGCGGAATCCATCGGGTCCATAAGCCGAAAAAAGCTCCATCAATGGCAGCGCCATAGCCCAAATCAGCGGAAACATCTATTGTTTCCTATCTTTGGGGCAGGTAAAGCAGATTAGTACATTCAAGTTTGGGGTAATCCTGCTCTAGGACTCACTTTGTTTGTGTTGTGTGGAATGAGTGACCTTACGAAGGCGGACAGCCATTACTCCTCCAACCATCCAGATGGTTTTTCCAGAATCCTGTCCTCACGCTGGCGCTCACTGTGTTCAAACACCTCTGTGCTGTTGACAAACGCACCCTAATGTCACTAAATGATACTCGACAGTGAAATCGGTTTCCAGTGCATAGATGGCGCTTTGACTCGGATACTCAGAATGGTCGCGGTACTCTGTGGACCAGGGTTCTCCTTGACACCGTTGTGTTAGAGTCAGAAGCAACTCTCAGTGGCGCCGTAGCGCTGTGCAACCCAGGATTTGTCAAATACTCCTCGGAGAGTCATGCCATTTCCACACTGCACCAACGCTGACATGTCTGGACAGTGTTGCCGGCATTTCACTGTGTGGTGCGCCGTATCTTTTTCCGAAGTGTCCAGATTACTTACTCAACAGCCGGCCCACTACCAGTGGTTCGATGTGATGGCCGTTGCGGGCACCAGAGGATGAGTCCGGGAGTCAGTTTGTATGCTTTCTTTTCTAGTGCATGACAGACAAGCTGCGGAGATGATGAATCCGTAGAAGTGCAGCACTGGCTTTGACAATGGACATATAAGCCGGGCTGTTTAAACTCTTAACCAATCACAAGCTTCCTCCAGTGCCATTTCTAGAATATTTGTCGAGAATCCGGCCTCTTCTCTCCTTGGGATGCATCAATTTCGCCTTCAACCCGTTTTCTCCACATTATTCATGGGTCTTCCTAGCTACTCTGGCACCATACGTTTAGGCTTCCTTGAAATTCTCATCCTTCGAAATAAGACCGAATTTGATGATGCTGCACGTATATTATACCAATATTATTGGAACATCTGCTCCAGTGTATGTACATCAGCTTTTATAAATTCACCTAATCACCACTTTAATCATTTTATCCCTGGGGTCTACATCAGTATCCACCAAAAGGTAAGGCGACGTACCTTGTTAACGTCGAAACTGTTCGCCACACCCTCTCCCTAAAGTAAAATTCACAGAATTTAAGCTTTTGAATAGGTGAAGCTCGCTGCCAAGATCGGCGTCCACTGTTCTTATTACCTTTTACACCCTATACTCGAGCATTTTGTCTTACTCACCATTATCACTTCATTTTTGCCAATGGGATATTCGTATCACTCGGTTGCGCTGCGATCACAGTCACATTACTGTTTCGTGGCCAATACAACCACGATTTCCCAATCGCAGGCGTGGTCTCTCCAGACTTTTTTTTTACCATTCGGGTCAGTGAATCGTCGTCTTATAGCTATTATCCGGACCATTCCAGTCTTAGTTCCGTTTGCCAGGGTGTCTCTCCATGCAACTATTTTCTGCAGCGGTTCTTACTGGTTCCACCCGTTGTTCTTTGGTAGCGACGACCAAACATAGTGGCCAGCTTGACGTTTTGACGGAGCGTCTCAAATCCTGTTTTGTGTTGATTTCTCCGTCATCTCCGCTGGGGTGACAGCGTCATATTCGGGGCCTAGAGCATTATCTGTGCTTGATGCAACCTTGCTCATTTCTCATTACTCAGTAACATCGCGGATAACACCTTTCCGCGCGCGACGACTGGTGACTGACGATCTAGAGAGCGTAACCGTCTCCACCGACGACCACCGAATTCCTAAAGTCTGCGAATCATTGACAGAGGATGTCGACATTTCCGATTTCTCTTAGTTAGTTTCACAAAATTCAGGGTAGCATCATTGTATTAATTGGACGGGCAATAAACGGGCGTGCCCAAACCACCTCTGAAGTCTACTCAACGGATTGTCCTCTGTAGACTATAATCGAAGGGCTTCAATCTCCGCCCTCATTTCACACACACACAACCTTACATTTACATCCGTAAAGACAGATGTACGGTACATGCGTTTCGGGTTTCGTGATGAATTTATGGATACTTTAGGTTTACGGGAACCCTCCGAGCAGAATTGATCCACACGACAATTTTGTCCGTAATCGCCTCTTGGCGTCAACTGGACAGTCATCAATCGGCAGTAACTGACTTACCTTATTCAAGCCTCTGAATTCTGCGCCAGTAGCATGGTAACGAACGAATTGGATTAGCCTGCGACTGCCCTTATTCTTCAGTAGACTAGAAGCAACTGTTCGTAATGGCTGTTTTAGTCAATAATTTTCCCCTGTATTCCCCAAAGATTGCATAGATACCACAATTGGCTGTACTTTCTCATCTCAACTGACTTTGACCAGATCAAGGAATTTTAGACTAGTGCTTTTCTTATCCTTCTAAACCAGGACTCTCTGCAGCCATGAAAATACGCTGTGTAATGGGGCTGGTATCTGCTAGGGAGGATTTTGTGGCCACCTTAAAGGTGTCTACATATTTATTTTACAGGCACGGCGTACCGAGAAATGGCTTAATTTGGCAGCTTTTTAAAATTCCTGTGGAGCACGTCAGACTTGCCTCGTGTATAATTGCAGAATATCGCTTTGGCGCAATGCCTTTGGACTTAGTCACGCAAGTCCATAGAGGCGGCTAACATCATAGACTCACAGACACGCCCTGACCTTGTCAGCAGCCATTCCCACCTGAAACAGCAGCTGAGGGTCCTGTATAGAATAAATCCTTTATTATATGGTCTTTAGTTATTTCTTACCAAGCAGGTCTCGACCTGCCTATTGTGACACGCAAGATGCACCAGTTATCCTAGCCGATACCAGTTTTTAGCCTAAATCTTTATCGTCAGCCGGCTCCTACCAGTTAAAGCAAAGCAAACTGAGGATTTTTCACCGCAGATACCCCCTCACAAATTGCAATTCTTCGATCCTTCTTTTATTTTTTCTTTCAGACGCACTCATTACCCCTACAGTCATTGGAGAATCGTGATGCGGTTCCCAGCAATAATTCAAAACATCGCAATGCAGCCTCATGTAAGCAGCTTAATCTATCTGCCCGGAATTCATGCCCAAAAACTTATTTTACGGGCAGCCAGTCAAACAACAGTGTACAGTCCAAACGGCCCTCTGTCCGGTTCACATCATGCTCTACCCGGAAGCATTGTGAAGCCACCTCCCCTCTAACAGACTCCTGGACATCTGAATATACTTCAAAGTTCGCGCCCTATCCCCCCAATGTATATTCAAAGTCTGCAGCAGCACTCGCTTCCCAATCTCTGCCGCATTCGACTTCCAAAGCAATCTCTAGAAGGATTCGCAATGCTAATGTTGATAAAATTACCGCTCGAATGTCCTCAAACGGCAACCCAAACTATATACTGGACAAGCCTTAGTCAGTTTGATGTTTATTGCTGGTTTCGAGGTAATTGATTGGATTTTCAGGGTCCCTCCCTACCTCTTAAGGCGGTGACTTTATCTTCCATACGGCTGTACTTTCCTCCCGCAATACTTGCAGTTGTCTTTCTGTTCACATGGATTCCTATTGCCTTACGCTCGAGCGTATTTCTCTCCTTCCATTCTCTGGTCCTCTTGCAATTACTTTTTTGTGAGCTGAAGTACATACCAAATAAAATATAGTACCTTCTCAAAACTTTTTTCTTCTGAGCTTTGGAGTCTGCTGAAACTGCTGCTGCTGCTGCCACCACCTTGGTGTTTCACAACTCCTATCTTGCCATGTTTGCGTGATTCCGGTTTGCTCTTGAGGGTTAGTTTGTGACCTCCCTCTAGTTGCTGTGGGGATTTCAAATGCCTCTTATCACGTTATTTAAGTGGTGGTAGTGTGTTTAATTTTTATCACAGGTGACATTTGCTAGCGTTTTTGCCCTTGACATTCGAACCAGTTTTCAAAAAAGTGAACATCAGGCTCTTTCGTTGCTTAGTCCTGCGTCTGTCAAGCAGCTGCGTTATCACGTACCATCCTGATTGGTACCGCATAAATTAAATTGTACGAGAAAACACATTGGAGCCATCACGCTTTCGCTGTTTTTTTTTTCGTGGGGCCCCCGAATCCCTTGTTGACCGTGGTAAATAGTCTCATCTTCTTGTATTCTTCTATTCACACCATTAAGACAGCACCATTTTCAGGTGATGTTTCTGGGTTGGTTTACTAAGACTCACGTGAATGCGCTCTGTTTATGTTTTAAGCCTGGCAGCTTCAGCGCCAGTAACCCCATGGGCAGATTTTTGTCCCATCTTTTATTCGCTCACAGTGCCTGCTTCTGTTTCTTCTTTTGCGAATAGCGGTTTTTGTTGCTCGGCCTTCATCCACTAATTCTCGTAGTTTACAGTTAGTCAAACAGACAGATTTACTGACGTCAATGGACACCTTCCCACAATTGAGTACAAATTTAGGGATTGTGGGAGAACGTCGTCCCGTGAGAATTGCCCGTTTTACACTTGACGTAGACAGTTGTACCAGTAATCCAAGTCCTTCGAGTGTTGCCATGAACGTTTTTGTCGGATGAAACTAGGAGTAGTTTATATTGACTGCCTCTAGGCTACATCGGTGGGTAAATGTGTATTTGCTGCTGACTTCGCCTTTTTTACATTGAGTTTACTAAACACCTACAGGCTATGCTTTGGACTTATTCTCTTTTTTCAGTATGCATTTCAATGACCGAAGTTATGTCAACAAATCCTGCGTCGGATCCGATGCTGTCGCCAAAAGCTACTGATTCTGCTCCTGATCTTTCGAAGTCGTCCCTACCAAATCCGCAGGTGCACAGACGGCGACGTTCTTGGACTCGTTCGAGCTCACGGTCACGTTCGAGAAGTCGTTCATACAGTCGCAGAAGGTATAGACGTTCGCGGTAAGTCGTCATTGGTGCGACTAGTAGACCCAAGACTTTTCTGTCCGGTAGAGATTACGACTTGTACGTTTCTATCTTGTTGTAGCTCGCGTGATTACAGTCGTTCCTCACGAAACCTCCACTTTTCCCGAAATGGAAGGATACCTTATGGGTATGATCTTAAACCTCATCTCATTTTTCAGCTTCATCTAGTTATACTCCAACTCGCATCAGCCTCACCTTAACAAACTCTTTGTCTTTGTGCAAAAATCACGGCAACGACCCCTTTTGCTCATTGGGAGTCCAGTGCTCGATTTCCCCCATCGACAGTGCCTTAGAGTCTGCACTCATTTGCATTTTTACCTGACTGTCCCTCACATCTAGTTGATGTAGAAGACTTGGGGGGGGATAGACCCTCCGTCTTTTTCAGTGACCATCATTAACGTCTATCGTCTTGATTTCTTTGGGACTCTGCTGGCGATGTTTTCTTTTCGGTCGGTTGCACCAATTAACCAGAACTGTTCTGTCCTCCCTTCAGCCGAAGTCCGCCGCCCAGATCACGGCTGTCCGGCCGTCCACGGGATCGGTCACCACGCCGACACTCTTCGCGTTCGCCGTCCCACCACCGCTACCAATCGGGACCACGATCTGGAAACCGCCCTGCTGTTGCGCCGCCTAACGCTGGCGACCGCTGGCCTGATGGTAGCAGTGGTGGTGGCGGACCGTTAGACTATCCAGGTATGCCTAATCGTGACCGCTCTAGCCTTCACTTCGGTAATAGAACACCGCCGCATCGCAACCGCACCCCCTCCTACCATTCCGTCGTTGGCGAAAAATCATCCAGTCCCACAGTGCCCACTCTGGACGAACGGTTCCGTGAACTAGTTGAGACTGTCAGCAGGAGGAAACCGGAGTACGGAGTCCCCGGTGGGTTTGCCCACCTCGTCCTATCGAACAGACCGCGAATGCCTCTGCCGACGCTGCTACGACAGGCCCGCGAAATCTCCGTCGTTATTGAGCGACAGCTGCCTTCGGGTGTGTGAGCATTCCTCCATGTCCTGCAATTCTTCACGCTCTCCTGATATCCTTTTTTGCATTGCCTCATCCCACTTGAACGGGGCACATAAAGTAGCTAGGCTATTCTTCACACAGTTCCCTGCTTAATTCTTACGCTCTAATGTATTGCTGAAAAAAGATTACCCAGTCACCTGTTAGTCTTAATTGAGTGCAAATTGATCTGACTGGCCTATTATTACAGTTCCGTCCTCCGGTTGTATAACTGTCTTAATAGGGCATTGAATAGGTTCGTAACGTCTGCGATTTCAGTATCCACTGTTCTTTTCTCTCGGCGCGTTATACTTGTACGTGTTATGATATCCCATTAAGCGATCGTTAGAGACACAATGAACGGTTTTTGACTCCGCCCTTGGGCTAACTTGTCTGTTTTGCATGCTTCGTTCATCCAAGGTGTCGACCTTGATTTAGTGCCTGTAAAAGGCTGTTTGCTTTTCTACCCAGTAAAATGAAGGAGCCGTAAACTCCTGCTTGTCATTATTTAATGGAAAACCCGAAGAACATGGCAGTATTCTAGTTGTTGACAAATTCGCGTTGCGTTGCTCTTTGCGTTGTTTCTCTTCCTGTCTTCAGTCACTGGTATTTCAAGCTTCTTTTGAGGCGTCAAACTCATTACTACTACCGATATTGCCCTTGATTACGCGAACTGTAATCCTGTTGATGATCGTGGTGATGCCGGCTGCTAGATTGCCATTCATTCATTCAGCGTTGTCTAACTTAAGGTGTTGAAAGTCCACTCCACTGGCGTGTGCAACTGTGTGGTTGACGGTATACCCCCTCTGGACTTTATTACCAGCCTTTGCACATCGGAGAGTTGAGAATAAATAACGTCCAACTTTCCTGACATCTGAAATGTCGTAGGAGTTCGCCTATAGGAAAGTTCAGCTATGTATAAATCATTAAAAATTGAGGCAGTTTCGCGTCTGTCCGCTCGGGAATTTAATATAACTGACTTTTAATGTTTCATTTTTTCGACGGGAAGAAATCGCGAATCCAAGGGCAACCATAGTTTTTGACCTCGACATTCGACGCGCAGCACTGGTTTTACCTCGCAGTCCCAATGAAGGCTCGCGGCCTATTTTCGACCGTCCAGAGGTTTGTCCACTTCAGCCCGATCATTGTTTCACCTATGGTACATTTTCATGCATCCACTTCTCACAATCATCCCGTTCATTTTCTTGTTGTATTCTCTGCCTCATATCACTGGGCCCTTTGCTTATTATTTTACATAGCTCTGATATTTTTTCAATGATCCTTTCAAAATTTGGCTACCCAAGTCCGGGGCAGGTACTTAACCCTCCGTCGTATTTAGGGGCTATAATTTTTGTCCATGTGTGGCACTCTAATTATTTCGAGCGTCCGCCACCCTACCATTCTATCATGTGTATATTTTTCCTACTTAATTTCACCATGTCTTCGATTTAGATCTACGTAGAAGACAATATTTTTGAGGGACCCAACGTAATTCTCTGAGGGAAGATGATATTCATAGGGATCACGTGACGGTTTGCACACTTACCTCAATCAAACGAGGCTCATCGTTAACTAACACACACCTCCTTTTCAAGACAGTAGGTCATTTTTGGGAGGAGGTTGTGTCGTAGGAAAGTGCTAGTTGAAATATAGTCACCACTTGCATGCGTTCTGACAACGTGCAACGAACATAAATGAAAGTGAGCTCATCATATTCACAGTACAGCTACTACTCAAAACCCGTGTACATGGAAAGTCGTGTCCAAGTCTTTCACGCGATATTTCAGTCGTCACAAGTGACCACACCCACCAATGCTTCAGGGGATGGGTTTAGTGCGTTTGTTTACAGGAAAACTGAATTATGCCGCGCCCACATTATTTCCACACATCCACTGCTTTCAGATGGTAAGACAACCGGCGGACAACCCATTACGACCTGGTCCCTAAACCAACACACAGTAGGCTTCTTTGACGGGGTCGCCGATCTCATATGATTGAGGGCGGTGTAGCTGTTGCATTATGAAGAAGCCATTAGAGTCTGCTCCCCAGCTCTAAATAGGGCCGAGTTATCCCGTCTGCCGGAAACGAACCCGGGAATTTTACCGCGTCCTATTTCTCACAGTAAAGAATGCGTTTTATTGTTATAGTGAAGGTGTACCTCGGTACAAGCTCCACTCGCTCACCCTTCCTGCCTCCATGTATCAGTGGCCTGTCCCGGCCCGTTGGTCTACGGGTATTGAGATTGGTTAGAATAACCGACGTGGCGTAAAAGCCTCCGTCTACATGTGTCACACGGGTGCTGATACACCACACCAACATGGCAGTAAGACGCTGGACCATATTCCTATATCGTGTCTACTTGTTCCATTTAAGTAACTTGCTTTACATCAGCAGTAATCTCTGCGACACTGCCGCCAACAGCACATTTCAAAAAGGTACAGGTAGAGTTTCAAATTGATTCAATAGTCAAAAAAGGTAGGACACGGGAACAGGAACCCACCCCATCGCACAGGGAACGTTTCGCCAGATTCCAGGGGGATTAAGGTCAGCTTTAGGGCTTACGATCAAGTTTTGGGTTGAGGTTGGGGTTAGGACACGGGAATGTCTGCCCTTCCGGGAATTCAACACAAAGCCACGTGTATTGCGGGGAGTCCCCATGTCCCGTGTCATGCCGTAGAAAACGCTGTTTGCACGTAATATCCGTTTTAATGTAGTAAGCAATCAACGGCCAAAACCCTCGGAAGGTGTCTTGGTATGAAAAGTCAAAATGCTTGCTAGTGCATATTAAGCTACCCAAGTCAAATAAGTAGCCGTGATATATGCATAAAGTATGTGAGGAGGGGTTCCTATTCCCCCAAATCACCGACCACCGAAATGTAGAAGCGAGGTGTGCACGTGAGCACATAATAACGCCGAAAACTAAATCGCCTGACTGTTGCATAAGCGCTGTGTGGTAATTTGACCGACTACCATAGTTTTTGTGCATATGGCCGGATAAGCCCATGTGATGGCTTAATGCGCAGGTGCAGTCTGGATGGGGAAGAGCGGTGTGCCGGGTGCTGCTAGAAAGTCCAGGCACTGGTTCTTCGCTTGCATTGCGATGGGCTCGTCCGTGTACGGCCCGATCGATAGGGGATAGGAATGTGCGGCCGCAGTGGGAACAGATGTACGCTGTGTTTCCGCCAAGTTGTCTGACAAGGGCGAACTCAGAACGCGGCGAGTCCGAAACATCTGGCGACCAGCTGTCCAGTCTCTTCGCCTGGGACGTGATGTTACAGTTAGGGGGCAAGAGGGAGTTTAGGTTGTAGCAGGTTACGTTTCATGGAATTAGAAATACGACTGGTTGTGCTGACATTCTGTCGGATCCAGTGCTATCCATCGCCGTCAATCGACGTTCTAAATGTTAGTTGTCAGAGATTGAACGTTAGCAGTTTTGGTCCGCTGCACTCTAGTCGTGCGTGCTTGTTGCTCTACCTTGGCCGTTGCCGCCAGACTGGTTTCGTAGATGAGTGCTCTCATCTCCACAGCAGTACGCAAAGCTTGACGACCCGATGCAAGGGTTTCCCAGGCCATTTGGTTGATTTGAAGGTGGCTTGAAAAAGTCTACTGGGTGTTCCTGTATTTCACTTTGCCTTCAATCCCCCTAGACGACGTCACCGCAGGGCAACCGCTTTGGCAGGTACTCTTTAACCATCCTTACGACGTGACCTTGCAATCGTAGTGGGACCTCCCTTAGGATAGCATGGCCACGACACACGATCATTCTTTCGAGGACCCCCAGATCCTAGACTCGTTTCTGACACCCCTATCAGACTTTTACGGAAGTGGATTAGGTGATAGTAGGTCTTGCCTAACTTTGCTACGTTTTCTACATGTCGCGACTTGGGGGGACGTAGTCAGGACGACGACCCGGTACATTCTGAGTTTGTGTTGGGGAGAATGCCATAGCGATTGCAGATTAAATTTTGAAACCTGCCGAAATCGAGCTTGAGTTGAAGATCCAGATTGCAATTGCGTCTCCGATTTTATGCCTCTTCAAATCATAATTCCCAGGTACACGATCTTGTCCACAGTTGCGAAGTCAGCTTTACTGGCACTTATTATGGGTTTATCATATCAATAAGCTGGCGGCGATTGTTAAACGTGACCACTGTCTTCTGCATGGTACTGGATAGTCAGGTTTTACTGAACGGAAGCAAGGAAGTCCACGCCCCGCATTATGTCGAGCCGCAGTCATCTGCGCATAGCAGGTCGTGGACATTGCCACTGGATACTTTTGTTTCTGCCTGCGTACGTTGGACGTTGGGGAGTTCTCTCTCGACCCCACTCCTTATGGGGAAGAGCACTGGACTGGAGAAAGTGGAAGCAAGTACACAACTCTGCCTCATCCCACTTTCCGCCGCAAATGCGTTTCAGACTAGTCCATTATTCGTGACGCATTCCACCGTGCTGTCGTGCAGTTCTCTTGCAATTTGTATAAATCGCTCCAGACATCTGACCTGCTGTATATACCTCCGAAGTTCATCGCGGTTCACGGTGTCGATGGCTTTGTGGCGTCAGCAAAGGTTGTTCAGAGGCGAGTCCTTGTTTCTTGACATGTTTCGGTCAGATGTGGTCATGTAACCGCACCTGAGGTAGACAAACTCCAGCCACCTGTAATACGGGACCGCTGGTAATAGGAGTTTTTGCATAAGAGGGTCCGGGAACGCACAGGCGGCGAGGTCAAGTAATTGTACGCAAAAGAAAAGCTTTTGGGAATGCGCGGTTGTACTTTGAGTGGTTGAGAAATAGTTGCCCTAACTCTTAACTGCAGCCCTAAACCCTAACCCTGGAACATCCAACGCGAAGGTTCGAAGGAGATAACAGGTCGAAAGTCAAGAAGGACCACTGGCATTGGGCCAAAAAGCTAGGTACGACAACAAAGGAACAAGGTCGCCAGCACCGCAACGCACAACAACATGCCAACGTAATCACACCAACTCAAAATAATTAAGTGGGTAAATAGTATTGTGTCCATCCGGGGGCGGCTACATAACGTTTTACCCATATTTCTGCTGATTTGTGAACTGCGATGACCAGATATTTCCAGAATCCGTACTGTGTTTCTGAAGGGAGTCTGTGTCTCAGGCGTGTATTCGACTTATTGAGTGGCATGCCAGCGATCACCTTGGTCGCAGTGCTCAGGAAGATTTCTCACTGACCGTCACACAATTGATGGTTTCCGTTCTGTTTGTAGGGCTAGGGGCATCCTCATCAGAATTGTGTCTGTGCGGCAGTTGAGGGCCCATCGTTTTCGCATACTTTTATTGCGATTTGGTCGGTGTCCGTAACTTCTCCAATGGACATCATTTGAACTGCCCTGATCGCCTCACGAAGGACAGGAAAGGGAGCACCGAGGCCAGCATTCGGTGCTATTTTTGGTAGTCAGTTAACGATTCCCCCGCAGATTTAGTATGGGAACGCTCCAGCCAGTGGATCAGTCGGCAATTTCTCTGACTATGAGGTTCCGTTTTCTGGGCTGGGAAGCAGCCCTGTCCCCTTGCGTTGATGACCGGGAACTGCCTCGATGTTCACACAGAAGCTTCACGTGTCGCTGTGGTCTGCTTATCGTTGGATTTCTTCCGCCAGCCATTTTGCTTCTCTTTTGGCCTCCCCTGCACCTGGCTTAGCATCGAAATAATACGGCGGTCCTGTCATTGGTATAGGTCTTTTGTAGTCAATTCGGGGCCGAAGTCTCGAATTTATTCGTTACCGTCAACTCAGTCTTGGTGTCGCCCATGTGAGCAGCCAAGGCTTTCAAAGTAGTGACGTTAACGCTGTCAACCAGTTTTTTCCGTTCGACTTTAACTTTATCTATCCCCAGGACTTACAGTCGTCATGCGAAGAAAATCCCGTCCCACTCATTAAGCATCTAGCGGGCTCCTCATTTTTTTATTTATGTCGCGTTTGAGGGGCTGATTCTGAATTGTCCTTTATAGGCAAGTTACCTCGGCCTGTTGATTGACCTTAATACGGTACCTTTTCATGCGTTTTGCAAGTCAGCTCTGAATACACGAAGACATAAAACGCATGCGGCTCAAGTCGACTTTCTAACCCATTTTTTTTTCATGCAGATACCTAATTACGACAAACCAGAGTATCTTAATGAAATCACCCGTCGACTATCAGCAGTCCTATCGGCAAAGGCCTCGAGAGGGTAAGCTGAACATATTTTTTTTGCCTAACAGCTCACCGACGACTTATTAAAACGCCACGATCACACGAAAAACGAACTTAGTGACCGTCACTCTCTTCTATTCACGTATTGATTATTTTGGGAAATTATGTTTATGCCGGTGTTTTCTGCACCACATTAGAGTCTAGTTAACATTTAATCACACCTAGTTGTTAGCTGCAGCAGTAATTTTGACCCAAGGTGCTTCTCTTAACTGGACCGAAGCCAGTGTTTCGTTCTCCGGCTACTTTTGATGTATGAGTAGCTTTAATATTCTCATCTCGTTGGCACTCTCGTGTGGGTCTGGTGTGCAATTTGGAACTTCGACCATTTTACCCACTTAACTTACGTTACCCATGTTCTTGGATTTCAGGATTCCATACACAAAACCTTACAACAATCGTGACGTTGGGAATGTGGAATATAGATCAAGAGGCTCTGGATATTCGAGACCAGGTAGTTCATACGTCCGCCTTTCTTAGGCTTGCAAAGTTACGCCGAATTTACTGGACAATTTTGTTTAAAAAACTGTTTCAGTAGCCATTAAGTACCCCTAAAATGCCAAATTTTGTCCGCCTAGTTACCATACGATCCGTTCGCCAAATCGCCTCCTTTCTAAGCATTTCATGACAGGCGCCTTGGTTCATAAAGTGGATAAATCAGAAAGAAAATATCTCCTTTTGAAAAACCTAGTGCAGAGATATACGATTGTTGTCCCTTCAGTTGCGCGTTTGGTTGTTATTTTCTCTTCACCACACCATTGATAATTTATGGGATGTTTTTTAGCCCTATGCTGAACGAGGAAATGCTCAACCACTCCTGTCCCTGTAGTGGTGTAGACACTTTAGAAGGTGGGTAATCCAGTGTTCCACGTCTGTTCACACTGTGGGTGATCTTGATCGGGCCGGTGGCAAGTAATGCAAAGGTTGACCTGCATTTGTTGGCGAATTCCCTGTCGTTGTCGGGCGACGGATGTCATATTATCAACGCCTCGCCCTATGAGGGTTACACAGTGTCCCCTGCAGTTTGTCTGGAAAATCTGCCGAGTATCTTTGCGTTTGGAAGAAAGCTTTTTTTAGGTTTTTTCCTGCCCTCATCCTTCACCAAACAGGTAACTCGGTTTTTTCCAGTTGCGGTGAATCCGTGTATTCGTAGCTTTCGGCGACAGATACTCCGCGCTTGGACCTTTGACATTCGTAAACATACTGGCTGCTCTTTCCGCCTTCTCCATGTTTCACGGCAGACCGAGGCCATGCAACTTTTGAAGGCTTGTTAACCACTTCTGCAGACCGAATATGGACATTTAGGACGCCCACAAAAGTGTTTATCCCAGTATTGTTCGACCTGTGCATTTTCGAAGGTATCTTAGGGCTTTTTGCTAGATCTCTCAGTTGCGTGTCGCCAGTTGTTATGTAAGGCGGGGCACAAACGGGAATCGCAGAAAGAACGAGCCTACCACGCCAATCCTCACGCACGCCAACTTCTCACTCTTCTCGTCCAAGACGTCGTATTCAGGAGCAACCTCGTTTCCTAACTAGGGCGTGCCAACCGTTTATCCTCGGAGTAATCGCGTGGCCACAGACCCCGCGTGAATTACAGGCGCCGCAATTTCACATAGGACCGGGATTATGTCGATTTGCTGAGTCCTCTTGTTGGTCAGCGTGGCGATTTGCTGTCGCGCGTGAACCCCTATCAATGGCTGCAGTGGGTTCAGTTTCGGGCCCCCTTAACACCTCTGAGTCGAGCGCCCCCAAATTTGCGACCAATCGTGTGTGTGCCTAGATCTGTCTTAATAATGTCTAGGTCATTCTTTGTCTCAGGACACCAGCGATACTCTGGATCTCCTTTTTATGGTTCCGTGGCATTAGGTGAGAATGCGGCTTTGCTCAACAAGATGACTTTCGGAGAACAGACATCACATTATTCCTTCTGTGTCCTCAAACTCATACTGCCTTTGAAGGAGTTTCGAGCCCATTATTTCCAAGGCCGTGGTGTAGACCGCCTAGAGTAACGCACTCTAGTGATCATGAACACTTATTGCCCCTAGGATGCATTCGGATCGTTCTTCCAGGGGATAAAAACCGCTTTCTTTCCTTATTTTGCAAAACGGTTGTGACACGAAAAGGGGCTTCGGATTTCGTCGTTTTATTCCTACATCGCGTGGCAGATTGGTCGACCGCGCTTCACAGGAACGGATGTCGTGTTGAGCGCAATTTAGAGTATCTATTCTGCCCTTGTCCCGTCAGCGTTTATACATAGGGGTTACCTGTCAGTTGGACGACGGCGGGGTTCCACTGCTAATCGTCCTTAGTTCATTATACGTTCAAGGGGCACACATGCGTTATTCCTCCAGTATCATCCTGGTGGCTGATACAAGAGTAATCAAAATAAATTGCACGACTTGGTTCGGTTTGTCCTTTCTCTGTCGGCTTTACTGTGCGAATACTAGTCCCATTCCAGTGGTGTCTCACCGCTCTAGTTGTAAGGCAGGGCATGCTGACTTTGCTTTGCCCTGTAAAGTCGCAAGCGCAGGGCACCGCGTAGAGACAAGCAATCGGTGATGCAACTGGCAGAGCGTCTGATTCAAATGCTTGTTGGCCGGCCGACCGGGCCTGGGGCTGGTCACTAACTAAGAAATTTGAAGTGGCTCTTTCAGTCGTCCCTGTTTTTTCAGTATTCCTTCTGAAACAGTAGGCCTTGCGGTTTTTCCCACAGTAGTATGAAACGTCGGACCCCATATGACATTTGTGTCTCTGTTGTACTGTATGTTCTACTGTGTGCCTCACAAAACCGTCTCAGTTAGCGATGGTTTGACATTCACACATGCTACACTTTTTCGAAGTAGATGTTCATGTAAAGGGACGCTGAACCTCTATATTGTCTTCGTTGTAGTGTTTGTTGGTCCGGCCGATGTCCCAAAGGGCCCCTCCTACTTCCTGGCAAGTTTGCATTACTTTGGCCCTTCCATTGCCCCTTACTTTCAGACATTCGCTAAAGATCCTCAGACCCCGTTGTCTGCGTGGAATACAATTACTTTCAGGCTTTGCTTGCGGTGTTTATTTCCATTTTTTGCCTATCCATGCCTTTTTTGCGCGCACATGGTTTGTTAGATATTTGTTACTTGTTTATATAGCACGATGATCGTGACGGTGCCCAGCCCTTCAGAAGTAGATTTCGGGGCAACTCTGGCTACTCCAGAACGGACTGGCGGCAGACATCTGACAAAGACTACTATGGTGCGTCGAGTGCTGTAAACTGCGGTGTTTGGATCGTTAAACACCTATATTGTCCTCTTATTTTAATGCCACCGCCTTATACGCATGTTGCATTAGGTGCGCGATACCGGGCGCGCAATCGTTCGCGCTACAGTCCAGATGTGGAGAACGGTTCCCCACAACGTCAGCGCAGACGTCCGCAAGCGGGCAGTGGAGCCTTTGAGGACAGCCGCTGGACTCATGACAAGTACCTGGAGCTCGAACACGAGGATGCAGATCGTCGCCCCCCTGACTCATATTCACCTTCTTCTCCAACATTGTCGATTTCAGAAAGGACCAAAGATGACAAATCCCAATTACTCGGTGAGGAAGGAGCCTCGTCCACGACCCCGAAAGGACGGGAGGGCGCAAAGATGGAGACAGAGGCGCCGTCTTCGGATGATTAGTTGCTCGCACTTCTCCCACACAGCTTTTGTGTGCTGACGCGCTCGCGCGTTTATATCCTCCCAGAGGAGCCATTGTACAGTTGCGCTTTTGGGGTTGTTTGTGCTGATTACTGCACCTTAAGCTTCTTGAGTATTTGTCCTGTTGCCTCCTGCTGTCGTGTGGTGCAACAGGATATGTGACCTGTGCATTTTCAATTTTTGTCCGTTTGCACTCATTTTATATGTGGAAAATACAATCTCACGGCCGTTGGCATGTCACATGGAGTTTTTCAGCCGGCAGCGAATGGGTCGTACCCCTGACCCGAGATTAAAACTGGCAGTCGTAATGGCAGAACGGGGTCTCTTGAAACTTGATCTTATCAGGTTACATGGTCTCCAAGACAAGTGACAGGCATGGAGGTCTGAGGACTAACTCGGCCCGCCATTTGTACATCCTCGTCATCCAGAATGCTCCCCTAAGCTTTCGCCTGCCTGTTAATTTTGATGAATTCGGTTTCTGAAAACAAGCGTTAGAGACGGGAATTGAACACACTGTGCAATGAAGGGTTCGATCTTAGGCATGTCGACACATGACTTGTATAGTGCTTTTGCAGAATGATCGGCGGAGCTATCATTCACCCCGGTAGCTATGGAGTGCATTTAGGGTTGGCTTCACTAGGGGGCGGGTTGCGCGACTAGCATACATATGTCAGAGTATTTGGCTTTATTGCCGCAAGGGCTTGTGAAATTGGCAAAAGGTTTTATAAGGCAGAACATGAGCATGATATAGGGCTGCAGAAAACAAATGCTGTGTGCCAAAAGCTGCAAGCAGTCGAGCTGGAGCCAAAGTGCGCGATGATTGTCGACATTCGCGGTTAAGAAAATTCTACAAAAACGGGAGTTTAGTTGACGCAGCGTGTGTGCTAGGCACAAACTGAAGTTCCGATCGTTAATAAGGACAGAGCTTCGACGTATGGGCTGCCTAGAAACTGCTTATCAATGAAGCCTTATTTCTACATCTGCAATTCTTTTGAGAAACAACCATACAGGGACGGAGGCTCAGTTTGTGCCCCGGTTGCTAGGAATTACAATATCTTAGAGAATGATGTATAGGGGGGACAGATCGTAATGGCCTTATTTTCAACGAAGTTTAATTAACCCTTCTAGCCACAACTGGGCTCTGCATAACCTCCAAAATAAACCGGTCACATCCACCGTCTATTCTGTTGAACGCGGCGCAACGGTGGGAGAGTTGTGAGCCTTCATCAGTACAAACGACTGAGGCTGCGCTTGCAGGATGTCTAGGTTTATGTTAGTAAGGGACTGAAGTGACGCATCCAGCAAATAGTGGAGAAATATCGGGCAAATCTGAAGAAGGCTGCTTGTCAAACGCGCCTATTTCACGGGACATTGATTCAGCTGTGATGAGTGATTCACAAGTGAGGGATTTAGATAAAAGAAGAAGCATGAGCTCCGTACTGTTGTCGACGTGCCAAGAATTTGTGGGCCGGATGCGCGTAAAGTTGCCTGAAAGTATCTTGTGGTAGGACGTGGATTCCTTCGATATCTCTTTTACGAGAGAATCACTGACCGGTTTCGTATCTCGTTAGGTCGGTGGATACTGGGCTCTGCGCATGGAAGACGAGGATGATGGCACATTTCGACCTCTGCTGATTTGAATCACCCCACAGTTAGGAAACGTGGGCGTCGCCTCATATAAGACGATCCAAACTCCAGGAAAATTGCAGGAAAAACATTTTAGGATGTCAGACAATGACGGTGGGAATAACTGCAAAAACTTCAACTCACCGTGCGTTCGGAAGCCGACGTGAGCGCAGGCCGTGGCAGTGCAGGGGTAGTTATTCAATCGTCGGTAGGTAGACTGTAGACAGTGCGGGAGTGGACCGAACTCACAAGGTCCTCTGCCAGGAGTCGCCTCACGCTCAGATTTGTCAGGTGAGTTACCTCTGGACTGTCTAGCCTAGTTGCGATATGGAATTGCCTGAGACGCCAGTAAGTGCTGTCTACAGAGCAATCTAGTGAAAAAACGAGGCATTCTAAAGTAATCTTCCAGCTCCTACAGCAGAGTGAAAGTTTGTTGTCTTTCTCAGGTTTACGTCTAAAGAAGATAAAGCGCAGATTTCAGAAGCTCAGGACTTCTAGCGTTTTCCATTGTGGGCATATCTACATACCCTTCTAAAGAACCATAACATTTTAACGAGATCCGTGCAGTCGTCTTCGCTCTTAGAAATTATGAACAGCCTACTCTTGATCTTATTCCCTGACTGTTTAACACAGGAAATAGTTTGTTCTTCACCTAAAATTTGTTGAATGTGCTCGGGCATTGCGTTTATGGCCACTATGCCATAAACAAAACAGAAATTCGCCTTGAGATGTCCTTCAGTCATGTATGCAAAAAGGATAAGTATTTTAAGGCTGCTAAAGGACTTCTTCTAAGGGACGAAAGAATTCGTTGTCAATATTCCCGATAGCACTGTAAAGCGCAAATTGTTCTTCAGAAATGCACACTTTAGAAGGTAACACGCGTGTCTTGCTACTGCCATTTCGAAAGGCATGCTGAAATCACCCCATTCTCAGAAGACGATT